AAATTTTAGGACATGCAAAGAGAGCTGTTCTGGTGAAAGGCAATGTGGTTAAAAATGAATGAATCAGAAAACGAAGTGATTGAAGACCACAGAAAAGCTAAAATGATGATCCATAGTAAAGGAATCAAGGCAGCTGCGTTACATGGACAGCAAAGGCATCTAGTATGGACATTTCGTTTTCGTTCCTCCGTCGCCTACGAGATGAAACTGCATGACGACGGAAGAAGTGTGACAGACAATCTACCTTCACACGATATTTTTCTACCAAGAACTACTAATATTTTTTCTTCCTTTTCGTATGTAAGTTTTTTGCTCAATTATCATAGGTTATTTATTCTTTTTGTGACTTCGGTTGTCCTAGAACTTGACATAAAAATAAACATTAATTTAATTGTATGTTGTACTTTTCCGTGTCCAGTATTGTACTATTGTAAATATCTAGACTAGAGTTTTGAAAGACCCATTCCTTATATCATAAAACTCGACTTTTCGCAAACTCGACAGCCTCTAGTCCACATTATGTCGAGTTTGTGGGACTCTACTGTATTGAAGCAAGCCATTTTCAATTAATTTCAGTTGCTACTTACTTTTGATGCAATTTCTTTACATTTCTTCGTGACCTTTATTTATAAGCCTTGTCTTTTTATGAAAATTTTAATATGTGTAAACGGTTAAAACATTTTTTTTCACTATCATTGTTTTATGTTTTAGTACTTTAGTGACATAATTTTGAATTATTTAGCATTTCTGAATTCATTTAAATTTGTGTTTAATATTTTTAGGGTACCCATATTATTTCATTGTTTCTGGGATTTAAATTAAAATCTTTAGACGTTGCCATTCTCAGAATTGCAAAAGGTAGTTCTGCAAACGTATTATAATTTGCACTAACTTATAATGCATATAATATACTTTAAAATTTGCGTATAATATACATTAAACATTACGGTTACATTTACATATAATAGACATTAAAATTTGAAATTGTAACGAGAGAATTGTAAACGCTCATTACCTGATTAGAAACAAACTGATCCATGACGATTTCAAATTCGACTTTACAGTGGGCCATATTTTTAAACTTAATGAGCGTTGTTTCAGCGTAGAAATCAGCTGGGATGTTGCAAATGTTTCAGAAATCCTTCATTACCAAATCATTCTAGATTATAATTTGGTCAGGCCATTTACTGCTAATATGCTTAGAGACCAGAGTTTTGTAACCTAGCTCGGATTGAGGACTTTTACTGCATTTAGTATTTTCTTGTATATAGTTCATTTAATTTATTGTTGCATTTCTGAATTCAATAGTTGTATATAAAATGTATAACCTATTTACTTCATTTGCATTACTTGAAAGCTTACCTTCATTTTGCATCATTAATTTTATATTAATTTTATATGTTGCTTTAGGTGTGGCTTTAGAGGAACTTTTATCTGCTATCACTTTCTATCTGACCCTTATCTTTGCTATACAGAACACAATGGTCTCCTACCTCGTACCTCATTTCCACGACTCTTCTCAGAAATTTCATTTGCCTTTAAAGGCTTAATTTCCTTATCTAGCCTCAAGTTCCTTTTTTGGGCCATATAAGCAACTTCACAACGTATCCATACTCGTAAAGATAGGGAACGGTAAGCAAATGTGTGCGTTATTTTAAGAGGTTGCTGACAAGATATGTCTAAGAGAATACATCTGGATGACTTTACATGTGGTCGTATCACCGGTAAACTGAAAGAAAAGTATAGTTTCAATAATGTAACTGAAGAGTTTCTTATGGCCCATAGTATTGTTTTACGTGAGTGGACAGGGCCGGATTTAGACTTGATAAGGCCCTAAGCTATTTGAGATATGTGGCCCTTTATAAGTCCATATATTAGATGTCAATGCCAAATATGATTTTCGGATACCTAGAGGGTTTTGGCCCCCCCCAAGAAAGCGGGGACCCTAAGCTATAACTTGTATAGCTTACACGTAAATCCTGCACTGTGAGTGGAATGTCTTCGAAACAACTGGAAGAGAAGATCGATGATGATCACCTAAGAAAAACATACCCAAATGAAGATAAATTATACAGTCGTATAGCTGAAGGGGATGGATGCTAGACTGCAGGCAATGTTGCAAAGTATTTGCAGGATTCTCAGTTTAGTAAAGCCCACAGTACTCTGTTTGGCGATCATTGTAATGTTTGCATAAAGGTAGCCATTTTGCTCAACAATTTGAGTTTTGACAGTTTTTAAGTCTGAACATCGGCGATAACGTTTACAATAGGATAACAAGCCGAATACATTAAAAAATTATTTGAATGGAGATAAACTTTTCACACGCTTGCTCACTTCTTTGATGTCTTGCCAAGCAAAACATATTTAATACGAAGAATTCGGATCTTTAAATAAGCTTGCTAAAATAAGTTTTCATTTCGAAAGTTTAAAAAAAAATTTAAAACCCGTCGAGCAAACTACCTTTTTCGCATTGTCGGTTTGAATTTCGTCAATCGGCTCAGTAGTACGCGAGATATAGAACTGTCTTTTTTAAGGGGGGCGCGGTGTACTTTTTTTCCTTGCACTGTGGGAAAAACGATGCCACCAAATTTTTAATATAAGTTGTCCTCCACTCAAATATGGTTACCTCGGATCCCAACTTTTGAATCTGTTTTTGATATATTTCCTACTTTGTATAAATTTAAAGAATTTTTGTTTAATAAACTTAGCGATTTGAACGCGAGATGTGGTAACGTTCTTCCAAACAAAGCTTTTTTATCATCAAATTCGGCTATTTTCAAGTAATGTGTTGTCACTGCCGCAAAAAGAATACTTTTTTATCCAGCGCGTTGGCATTCAGTAAAGTGTAAGGTAGTTAAAATTTAAATTTAATCTTTCTGTTACTGAGTAGCAAACCAAGTGAATTGAAAAGCAATAAATGCTCTTCTTAAAAATATTTTTTGTACTTTTTGTTACGATTGATTTCAATAAAAATACATTTAAGTCATAAGATGTCTTAGTTAGAAATATTAAATATTTTTATGAAGTTACACTAGCTGGATTCGTTAAAATCATTACATACTTTTCTCTTTTTCATGATAAATCTTTTAGGCGGCTAATCATGTCGAGCGGTAGGTTTTTAAGGTTTTTTTCTTTCCTTTGGTACTTCTCGGCTGTAAGTTTCACAAAAAATTCTGTTCGTAGTCAGAGTTTATATTACCAAAGAGAGCACGATCCTACAATTGAATGAAAAGAATTGCATTCTGCTGACCTGTCTCTACAAATACATAATATAGAACTCAAAATAAACTATTTTCTTTGACTTGTTAACGAAAATGTAGCTTTATTAATGAAATTAGTAAATTAATTTTACATCGATTTTAGGAATATATTCAACTTAAATTAGTTTGATGATCATCTGGTTGAAAAGATATTAAGAAAACACATAACAAACAAGATTGATGAAAGCATTCCCGTTAGCTGCTGTATGTATTGAGATTATACATAATTTATGCATTCTCAGTTTTTTTTTTTTTTTTTTTTTTTTTTTTTCAAATTATCACAAGCAGTATTCCACCATCCTCGTGCCACAGAAGTGACGTTACATGGCCCAAGAGTTACTTAGCCCACGTTTGGCTCTTTGCTACTTATGTTGTCGTTTTCGTATTGGATATCTGATGGATACTTTAAACAATGTGAACACTTCTATTGAAAAATAAAACGAATTTCAGAATTTCGCTATTTTTATTGCAATATTGTAGAGAGATCTAAAAACGTTTAGTGCATACAAGACACAGAACATGATGCAAAAATTGACAGCACAAAGAATTATAATGCTTAAATAAGTGTTGTTCTTTTCAGTAGAATATAAATTATTTCTTTGCTTACCAACAGCATCACAGCTACTTTTCACAAATAAAATAAGAAAGCAATTCTACAAAGATTTCCTGTGGTACCTATGAAGTTTTCTTTAAATATTTTACGTTTAGGGTTACCATTTGTCCTGAGAGAGACAGTCTTCTTAGAACGCTTTCTACCAAATCATTTCTTTCAATACACAGAATGTTTCTTGGCGACAAATTAATTAACCCTATAGTAAACTTCCATATAATACATCAGTGATGAGCAAATTGTGACCTGCAGGTCACATGTGGACTGTAAGGTCTTTTTCATTGGCCAGATTTGAGATTAATATTGTTGTCAATATCCCTAAATTCTTTTATAAGAGGGTCATGAATTAAAGCATTCTGGAATCGTGGAATCAAGTATATATCAGTTCAAATAAAGGAATCTTAATTAAGAAATTTTTTACCTTATATCAAAATGAGACTGTCATGTCATCATTTTTTTACAAGTTATTAAATGACCCAATTCCTTACTGACCATGGAAACTTTAAAAGTTATCTCAACAGATTTAAGTTGGGTCTAGAGACTTTTCTGATTGCAGTGTTGGTGCCAAGGAAAATGTTGAACATGGGTTTCTTCCGTGTTCCAAATTAGACAGTGACAGAAAGATCTTAACACTAGCACTTATAAATGTTAACATTAAATGGCCTCTTGATTTTCTTCAGCTTATTTCCGAGAGAAGTACCTTTGACTATTTTTGTAAATTCATTGTAAATTATTGTAATCCTTCATAAGTTTTTCTTAATTTTGTTTCTTTACTGTGTATTTTTCTATACTGTGTTTCATACTTACTTCTATAAGCTTCATGTGATACTTTGTGTACATAGGGAATTGTTTTTTTTTTTTTTTTAATTAAAAATAAAAAATCTGAAATCTTTCAGATTTTATATTCCGCCCAAAGGGAAGCTCTTTTTTTTGGGGGGGGGGCTAAACGTAATATATTGTACGACCTACAGATACATTTTAAATTGGCACTCGAAGGTACAGAATTTGGCACCACATGCTCATATAATCATAGTGTAACGAGCTTTTATTAAAAATTTAAATTGCTCAAGGAAATTTTATTACGAAAACATGCATACACACAGAGGAGTATTATATAGAAAATATGTTACCGGATCTGCTGATTTGAGCCAGACATGGTGCATCAGCCTGTAAGTAGTATTCCTAGAGAGCAAAGATCCAAAGACGTACTGGAAAGAAGAGATATTATTTGAAATAATGCTTTGCTATATGTAAGTAGATGAAAGCAAAGGCAAGAAATTTTATATTCATTCTTAAACATATATAATCCGTACCTTTTTATCAATCCATTCTGAATTTTGATATACAATAACTATGTTTATATAAACTACTATGAAAAAATATTTTAATAATATGTTACTGTGATTTTCAAGCAGATCATTCTGAGTATCAATATTAAGAAGTTCTTGATAACGGAAGTAAAGCATGTAAACTTAATGCAAGATAAGCTATGAATCTTTTATGAGAAGGGCTAAAATCGTTCCTTCTCAATTCTCTAACAGTGCTCAAATTACGGTTATACTTCTTTTAAATTTTGGCATTAGAATCGCCCATAGCAGGGTACTGACTCACTGGGGTCGATGAAATTTTAAGAGGTTTCGATGATGATCCATGGGGTCTATAACCGATTATTTACCGGTGACTGTTTGGCATAGTCAAGATCTCACTGATTACAAAAATATTATTTTGAAAACTGATAATTAATTATTTACCGATATAAAATTAAATCAGGTATTAAGGAAGAAATCATATACAATAAATGTAAGGGAAAAATTATTTAATGTACTGTTTTAAAAGTCAATAATATTTTCATAAAACCAAAAGCATACAAAGAACGTTAAATTAATTAATCATAGCAAAATCTACGTTTATGCCCTAAAAAAGTATATTTTAATGTTTGTTTCTAAGACATTGAAAATTTGAATGCCCAGAATGGCTCATGCAGGCGCCGAACTGCGATATATCTGATTTTGATATTATGATGCAAAAAGAGTTGCACTGGAGAGGATGTTCAAGCCCAAGTCTTATTCGAAACAAGTTCCGGAATTTAAATGTCATCCGAAAGAAATACCCAAATAGAAATTGTTTCTGAATCAACATTACAGTCATTTCCCTTTTTTTATCCAATGGAAGCATTAAGCTTTAGTTAAGTAAATAATTTGCTACGGAAAACAAGAAACAGTATGAATTTCTTGAACGAGGTGATTTAAAAATTAAGTAATTTTATGCCAAATATTAAAAACATTTCATTCATATATTAAGCGCAGCCATCACATTATTTTGTTCTGTTATTAAAAATTTGTTTATATTTGTAAAATTAAAAATAACGAGCATTAAGTTATAATTAATGAAATAATTGCTAATTGCCAATAATTTAAAATAATGCTTATTATATAAAAATAATAAGCATGTAAAATTTGATAAGTACAAATCTAATAAACCATTTTTTCAAAACTTTTATTCGCATCCTTAGTCTAATTCTTATCTTAAATTTATTTACGTGTAATTATTTCTATTATGTTTATGTTAAATGCTATATATTATAGAGATAAAAATGCAAGGGATTCTATAAATAACAGCATTTTTTCAAGAGGAACTAATGAAAGAAAAGAGTTGGGAGTCCTTAATCTGTAGTTAAGTCATTTAGACTCCTCCTTTTTTGTTCCCCACTACATCGCTTTGCATTATAATAGTACACAGTCATTGGATTATTTGCATTTCTTTTCTTTCCCTTTTATTTGATAAAATACCTTGGAAAACCAACCTGTCTTTACCAAAAATGTAATCTGAGATCTTTCGATCAACAGCTTGTTGCGTTTACCAATGTATCATAAAGATGCATGGTAAACGCAGTTTAATTCCTTTCAAAATCCCTTTAATTCCTTTCAAAGAACACAGGAAATTCATTACCAATGCAATCTAGCAAGGGTTACTATTCCCCGAGATAATAAGATCTTTTATTTGCCATCCTGTGTTCGGTGCCTGATTACTGCTCAGGCTCAGAAGCACTGTTTCTGGGTTCAGAGAGCTTACAAATCATTTTATAAATTTTCCTAATCCCGATTTGCCATTCATAAAATTATAAAAACGAGTATTAGTAATTTCTGAAAGAACATTTGTGACAATATATTTTGTTTATTGTCAAAGTTGGGTTTTAATTTGCATCTTTTCCATCACTTCTGACTTAGTCATGGAGCTTGTTCTCTCCAGACGGTTATGTAGATTTTTGAGACGAGCGTAGGGATATAAGTAGGTTTTGTCTGCTGTCTTAAGAACGTCAGTATTAGTCTGGGCTTAGGTGTGGCGGAGCGAACTATATGATGGAGCCGCGAGCAGATAGTTGCTGATGAATACTGATCTTTAAATTCTGGCCGGTGTAGCTGATTTCGAGAAAGCTACAGTTGAACGTTTAGCAGTGTAAATTAGATAGAATTGCGGCTCCACCAGGCACGCACAGATCTCCCATACATTGTGCTTACGACCTAGACTGCCTTTATTGGATTTAGTCCACAGTACCTGGTAAATTCCCAGTTCTCAGAGGCATTTCCTTTGGAGGTGGCATAAATTCTTTAAAATTAAATAACACATTGATTAACTAACTAAATGACTTGAAAGCAACAATCGTTTTTATTCTTCATTTATAATTATATGTCATTTTTATTCTATATAGTTTATAATATAAACTTACGCTATTTATAACATATTTGATTGACAGCAACTTGCACTATTGTTGTAATTAGGGTATATTTTCTAGGTTTATCTATTACGTACTTGAATACAAAATTACATCTGGCAAGCATTAGTAAACGTATTACTTACTTTTAACTTTTTAAATGACTAAAATTTGTTGTTACAAAATCTTTTAACTTTTCTTAAATACTAAACAATTAAATATAATAACGTGCAGTTTATCTGCATATAAGGTATTTCTCCCGCCTCCTTAGCGAGAATTCGTGGTGTAGTAGTCCTGCACGCTGGGCCGGTATCCAGAGGTCCGTGGTTCAATTCCCTGCGAAAGCGTTTGCTCATTTTTCATCTTGCCTGCTTCCAAAAAAAAAAAAAAAAAATACCTAGTGTCTCTACAAGCATTCAAGTTTCTCCTCTTCAAACTTCATTAGTGTCCACAGGTTCTTGCTACTGATCTCAAAAATTGATTCCTTCTAATATTCATGCTCATAACTAATTTTCTGAAAAGCACGAACAATGAAGTCTTCAGCGTGATGATGTCGCAAAATTTACAAGAAAACTTTTTTTTTCTGTATAACCATCAAAAGGTGTCAACATTAAAGTCTGGAGACTTTGCCCTTCAAATGGATGCCAGCAATTAATCCTCAAGATGTGAAAGTCTTGAAAAAAGGTGATTCTTTGGTGAAAAAACAGTTAATTCAGGCTCCATATTAAATAAATTTAACAACGTTGTGAATCTAACTTTTAGCCGTTTAAGGTAACTGAGAATAGTAGAAAAAGAGTGGGAAATAAAACGAACTTAGTCGAGCAGTTTTTGAAATTCGAAGCACATTGAAGACCAGTAACCAAATGGCTAGTTCGTAAATAAATTCTTGTAATCGAGTTAATTCTATGAGCTGTTTTATGTGCATAAATGTAGAGAGAATATGATTGCAGTTAATGTACATACAGTAAACCTAAACAAACGGCTTTAAATCAGCCTTATTTATGATAAGTACTTTTGGGGAGGAAAGTACTATAATCTGTTATGTTGCACGATAGTGAGCTGCATCATTAAAATCCCAACACGTTTAAAAATGTTTTTCAATTGCAGCTGTTCAAATAACAGCTTACGTATTTCATTCCTTGATTAAGGAATGCTACCATAAACCACTACGTTCACGAACCTTATAGCAGCAATATAATATCGACAAAATTCAAAAACATTTTTCTCGGTTAGCAGACTTATTTCTATATTTTTCGAGACATTTCAAAATTTCATAGCTATATATAGCAAGGTTCACAACTAAGGAAGAATTCTCTCCCAGAGAGAAATTTCATAGTTTCAGTGCGTGGAAAGCAGGAAGCCTTTTCTTTACTTAATTACTTTATGATTTACTTTTATGATTAATTAGTTTATTAATATAAAAAGGTACATTTTTCAAGTTTTGGTATTTATCAATATTTTCTGTACTTTTCCTTGTTTAATTTAGTATAAAGTACATTAAAAATAATCTAAATTTAAATAAATGTATATGTATTCCCCGAGTTTTGGAAAGGAAGGGGGGGGGGAATGATCGTCTAACAACAATCGTGAAAGGGGTGAGGAGAAATTTGAGAACCACTTATATATAAACATATTTAGGCACTCATTAAAATAGTCTGAAGCAGAATCAAAATGTCAGTTAAACTCTTGTGGTTATAAAAGCCCTGAACACTTGATCCCAATGTATAAACTTAAACTATAAGGTATTTCTCCCGCCTTTTTAGCGTGTCTTCGTGGTGTAGTGGTCTGCACGCTTCCGAGAGGTCCGAGGTTCGATTCCCGGCGAAGGTGTTGCTCATTTTTCATTTCTCCTGCTTTAAAAAAAAAAAAAAAAAAAAAAACCCACCTTATGTCTCTACAGTACTTAATGATATATTGTGGGCCATACGTTTTTTTGCGTTAATCAAATTTTCGCCACGCCATTCTTTTATCATTATGTTTTATTAATAAACGTTATTTAAAGTTTGCTTGACAGCTTAAATGACGTTTTTTCGAAACCATCTATGTTGCTAACAAGAAACGATGTGTTCTTCAGTATCATCAGAAAAGTTTTTTGCATATTAATTAAACAATAGAACTGCGACGCGTAACCAAACTTTAGATAGACTGGCAGCGAATTATTGCTAAGTAACAACTAAAACTTTAGAAAGGTGTCAAAGACCCTTTATTTAAAACTAAATAAGAATAGAAGGCACACTTACAGCCAATCACTTGCGGCAAGATAATTTAAATAACAGAAATTAAAATTTAATTTAAATAAGCTAGCAGCCAAAGGCTACACAAATCAATTAAAATCAACTGCAGATTTGGCTTTATTAACCGGTGTGGGTATTCAACTATCGGCAGTTATAATGCAAGGACGAAGACTATAAATCTTATCTTATCTAGCAACCTAGTAACGTGGGCTCGAGAGGCAGAACACGCTCTGTGTTACAATCTAATACCTTTAATACACGG